GGCCATCGAATAAAATCGAATGGATATTGAAATAAACGAACGAAGAAAGAAGGTGTATTTCGTTCCTTATCGTTCTGATATGCATCAAAATATTTACATTCCCGACGCACTCCACGTTGATCCGATGAAATTGCCACGAGACCGACTATTGTTAGATAAACGGAACGTCTCACGCGTCGCCTGTTCAATAATCTCTCTGCGCAATAACTTTATCTAGCTGAGCGGGAAAAGCCGTGACAGACTCGTTCTATATTCAACCTAATGAATATTTTCGGAAACGTAACCCGGCTCGACACGGAACAGCCCGCCGTTGAAAGCCGCGACGCGCGCCAACGTTGCACGGAAACGCGCCTTAAAGGAAAGAAACGTTATCACGTCGGGGTATGTATGGGTCTTGCGTTCGGTGCATCGCGTAATTCGTCACAGTCGTTGCACCAATGACGAATCGACCACCTGACCGAGCTCGCGGAATTATTCATCGGTTATAATTAGAACTTTTTGTCTCGACTCGTGCCCGCCATATCGAGGCCTTTAATTCACTGGCAATCGACGATCGAGATAAAGTGGCCCCTTTAAGTTCCTATTTTTCCGGCTGGATCAACAACATGACGTCTTTCGATGTAGTCAGTCGACTTATCCATCGATCAGATAGACATTTGAATAGGACTTGGTGGTTTCTTGGGATATATAATTACGTGATTCACAGGAAATGAGGTATTAAAATTGAAAAATTCATGAAAGTATAGGTTGGGCCTAGATGCATACAACTCTGGGCCCTACAATGTCAATAGAACCATTTGTTGAGAGTCTGCGACACACGATATTTCTACCGACTATATTTCCGAGACATTGAAAAATGAGTCGACGCGCGTCTCTGTCAATAAAGTTGCAAAGATCCTATTCCTATACTCGACACTAAACACTTAACTCGATGTAAAATTAGTTAGCTCCCAGTAACGATCCAAGGCCTTCCCCTACCACCTCGGTATCTTCTCGTTTCACAAATCTTGAAGGTACATGTATCCGTCTAGTTCGAATAGATACGTAAATATGATGTAATCTTGTATTTTGTTACAGTCGTTGGACAATCTGTTTAGCTGTTCGAGACAACCGTGACTTCTTTCCTCGCTCTACTGTTCAATTATCCGACTTGAACCGTAATAAGCGGCTGTTGCGACATGAAATCGTTTCTTTCAATTAGACCGCGAATTTTTTCGCGCTTATAGTCTAGAGTGGTAGATAACAGAAATAACAAACCGATAATATATTTCTTAATAGGGAAACGTGAATTTGCGTAAGTATTCACACTCTATTTATAAAGATCCCCAATAAGGAAAAGTGTCCTTGAACGATGAATTCTTCTGGTTCCGACCAGTCTCCCAAAGTACAATCGTTTCGTAGTATCAAATCCCAATGATCATCCGTCCGATCGTCTCGATTTTCTGGACCTCGTGGTCATTGCGAAGGAGTGAACAAGGTTCTGCATCGGTGTCAGATTCAGTCACGTTTCGCTCGGTTCTCGCACACAACCCAACGAAGTTGACATCGATAGTGGACGAGACCGTATCATAGTGAGGTTAGATCGTGCACGTGACGAGAACGACGTTGCATACGCGAAAGATAGATGTATTCGATCCTTTTTATCTCACTTTTTTTGTTGTTGTTTTATTGCGATACACGTACGGAGATTCTAAACGATAAGGCGCGGCAAAAATCGACACGCGGAAGCGGACGATTCGCGTGGCTGGTATCTCAGCCTTGGCACGCATGAATCGGTCGGTGAAAAGCATTGTTTATCATCAAAAATCACGATAAATCGTTCGAAAACATACCCATGATAGATTTCGAACTGAACTGCTCACCTAGCGATTGGTAATCAAAATTGTTCGAACATGTTCGAACTCCCGACGAAATGTCCAAACAGCTCGAGAAATGTTCTAACTTTTCAAACGTTTCAAATAGAGATGTGCAAGTTCATTATCTAGATGGAGAGTTTCGAAAAACGAATAGAAAATAAGAAAATATTTCGTCATTTTTTAACCCTCTAATGATAAGGTCCGGGTCGTAACCGACCCAAGTTATAAGTCCTCTCGTGCTGCCCCACTTTATTTTTCATTATTTCCGTTTGAAAATATTTCTTATTGTGTAGTAAACGTTAATACCTATGTTCTTATATGTTATACAACTCGATTATTATATAAATGAATAAATATGTCAATTGAAGATAATAACTTTTTTCGACCCGTCTGAAAATGAGCTCGGGTCGGATTCGACTCCACCTTACCAAGTACAGCCTTAAAACCCACCTTTTCATTCGAGGGTCAATTGACTAAACGTAGAAATTGCAATCTTTATGATAGAATAATATTTCTTCTTGAATGAGTGGACACTTGGCAAACAATTATAATCTCATTAACTGTTTAAAGGTTAGGATCGAGATCTTAGATACTACTGCTTTTCACTATGTATTATTCGATTAAGATTGTGCCCAAATCTGGTTTCGAACAGTGTCAAACGACCGAAACACTATTCGGGGTCTTCCAATGTATCGAGTTTCAAAAAGTCGAATCATGTTCGGTCTGTTTGTCCACGTTGAACCATCGCTACGTGGTCGTTCGATTTATCGAAAAACAACGGCGTGCGCGACGTTCCGTGTCGAATTCGGTTTTCGCGGTATTCATATAATTGTTCGTTTGGTCTCGCTTTGGCCAGAAAAACCAGGCGAGAGCGTGAAACTCGTTCCGTATTCCGCCTGTCGCGTTGAAAATTAACGCTGTCCGCTTTTGTCATCCGATGGACGAAAAGTTGTTGGCCTCGTTCTTGCGTCTTTGTGTTTCTTTTTTCAGCCGTCTGCTATCCTTCTCCCGCCGATAATAAGACGAAGTCAAGAGACACGGCTTGTAAGCGCAAGTAAAACGTACGTGGTCGTTTGCCAGTTATGATACAAGTTTATTGAATCACTTCTTCCTCGCAAATCAACAATGACAATGGGCCCCTTGAGTTTCTTCGGTTTCTCTCTTTCTCTCTCTCTCTCACTCTCTCTCTCACTCATGCGCGCACATGACTCGTGAAGTACCAAAATCCCTTTCGTACCCTACGACATGTCTCACGTCGATCTCCGTAGCCGTTCGACAGAATGATGATCGTGATGGTAATAATAATAATAATCATGGTAATAATAAGAATAATAATAATTAATGATAATTAATTAATAATAGCTATAATAGTGGTAATAATAATATACAATAATAACGAGATATGCTAATTGCGATAATAATCAATAGATAACAATTGAAATATACATATGTTTGTTTCATAAATTTCATCGTGATATATAGCAATCGAAATAACCAATCGTACTCTCTTCCGTTTCGCTCGATCGATATACCTATTTAATCTCTATACATAATTAGAAATTTCTCCCTTTGATTCGTGATATGGCTTTTATGACGCGATTAATGATTTTAATGAATTTAACGCGAGTAGGTTGATTGACTCATCTCCGCTACGATGCGTCCGTTCCTTTCTCCGTGAACTTACAATCATCCTCGCGTTTCTCGCTCACTTTCTCTCTCTCTCTCTCTCTCTCTCTCTCTCTCGCTCGTTTCCTTTCTCTCTGTCCTCTCGCACGGATTCATTTCGTTTTATCAAATTTTTTTTTAGAGCTGCTCGCGCCGGTTGATTACTAATTAATCGACTCATATATACTTACAATAGTTGCAATATATATACAATTACACGTGTCACGGCGACAGCTGCTCGCCGATACAAATAGCATCAATTATTATTATTTATACGAACGATCCTCGTAACAAAAAACATCGTCGATCCGTTCTCGATTCATAGAAATTTCATATAATTCGCGTCTAAGCTGCCGGTCGATGACTCGATTCTCCTCCCATCTCATCCCGAACCAACTAATCGCGACGATCCTCCCTTGTCTCGATCGTAGATACCGATCAAGATCGAACGTCGTCGTTGCGAATAAACTTTCGAAAAGCTACAATTCTTTTAAATATGTTTCCTTGTTCTGTTTTGTTTTTTCATCCAGTCGAGACGAAGGCAACGCGGCCTCGAGCACCGTTCGATCTCGATCCTCGTGAACCTCCACACCACCCACTCTATTTTCATCCTAACGATTTTCGCCCGGCGATTAAGTACTCGAGACACGGAGTACGTGAAAGGTGCTAGTGTTAGGTACAAAGAGGAAAATATATATGTATACTAGCGTAGGATGAAAATAGCGAGTGTTCTTTTTTTCTTTCCTTGGAAAAATAGTCTCGAAACGAGTTCACACAGTCGACTCCCGTCTGGACCTTCGCGTGATCGTCGGACTACATTACGATCCGAACGAGCCACAAAAAAAAAACTGATGGGATCCAGACGATTGGACTGCGGCGATCGCAGATCTACGCTCTCTTTCGTCCTCTCTTTCTCTGTCTCTTATTTACAAATTCATCTAGGTATACAAGCTACGCCAGAGGTTAGAAAAAAACGCGATCGCTCGAGCGCAGGGAGCTCGATCCTCCGGCTCGATCCTCGAGTGAAATCGAGAACCCCCGTGGATCGACCTTCAGCCATGGCACATGAAGAAGATCGACGCCCGAACCGCGTGTCACGTGAATACAATCCTTTCTGGAACTTGTTCCGCGGGGAATCGGCCTAAAAATCGTCACGGTGATCTCTTCCTTCGTAAAAAAATTTACCGAAACCCCCACAAGACAAATCGCTACGCTGAATTTCTTTGAATTCACTGCATCGCGAGTACACCGTGTTTCGATATCAAACAACTTTCCTCGGTTCACGATCGTCGACAAGATACAAAGATCACGCTCAATATCAAAACGCTTCTCGATCGCGAATAAATTCTGATTCTCACGGTTTCCGTGACAACGAGAACGAAGTTACACAATTTCTTTTCATTTTTAACATTATATCGCGATAAACTGATGATATATCGCGACGAACAATTATTTTTCTTCGCGATCCACTCTCGGTCGTCTCGGTCGATACTTCCGTTTTTCGTTTCACGTGTCCCGATCGATCAGGGAAGGGGGGTATGTGACCAACGATCGCGACTGTTCGAAATCTTGTGCGCACCCTATAACGTGTATATAAAAAGTCGAAGAAGAGTGTCTATGTACAATGTTCGCGTGGAAGGCAAAAGGCTACACGAATAATACTTCGTACGAAGTGAATCTCCTCGACGGAGCTCGCGTAATTACAGTTTACATACGTCGATATCCCCGTATAACACCCATACAATATTACATGGACACGTCGATATAACACATGAATACATCGTAACGTTTAATCGCACAACAACCGTAACCGGGAACCCCTCTCTCGAATTCGTAGAAATCGGTAACAATCGTATAGAAACTCGAAACTCGTCGCCCATCTCGCAATCCCCTTTAATTACATCACTATATATAATCGATCCAGCGAATTTACTCCAGCAACTGTCCAGTCGATCCCATCGTCGGGACTCGGTAACCCCCTTTTCTCTTTTAATACGGGGGGGGCAACCAAAAAACCGTTTTGAAAAATACATATCTCCGACCGTCCACGTTCCCCCCTCTCCCCATTGAGAATCTCACGGAAAACCAATTCACGCTACTCTAGCCGCTCTAAAACGTCGCGTGTGTATAAAAGTGTGTGCGATATACTGGTTGTCCGCGCTCGAGTCGATCGAAAGAAAAAGAAAAAAAGATAATGGGAAAGTGTAGAGAGATTCGTGTGTGTGTGCGCACCGTGTTCAAGAGCGTGTGGCCGGTCCAGCCGGGACACGGCCACGGCCCTTTACAAATATTATTTATATTAAAATACTCGGTGTAAAAATATGTACGATACAGCCGGAGGCGGCGGGGTTCGTCAATATGTCGCGTGTACAACCCCGTCTGAGACAATCAAACGAAGGCTCTGGGCTCTTCTTCCCTCTTTAGCCGTTCAAGGAGATGCTCCGTTGAACCTCCATATTGGCTGGAAGAAGAAATCCTTCCAAAAAAGCAGTCGTCGCGGTAAAGAAGCCCGGTGTATATTTCGTGTAAATCGTTTCCTTCGATCATCTTGCAATCATCCCCTTTGGAAAAGTCGAGACACATCAGTTGATTTTGTCTTCGGTCGACACGATCCGTATATCCTTGTCTTCTTTGTTCCACGTCGACGCGATCGGGCAACGTTCGTTCGTTTAACCGTGGAACCGCGTACGTACGCTCGAAAACCCGTCTCTTCAGCAATTGTTCTCTTCGTGGTTTCGCGTCGTGCCAGGCACATTCTCCTTGCGTACACGGCCTGTTCGTTGCTTCTCGCGTTCTGGTATCCAGTGACAAACACGGGGCGTCGCGACGCCCACGGGTCTCAGGTCACGTCCACCACGAGTCCGTGAATCCGATCGTCGGCTGGCTGCTACGTCAGCAACTTGAAGAACATCAAGGCTAGGGATATGTTGATGAACAGCACCAGCATCACGAGCTGTTGTCGGGAGAACCAGTCCTGAAAGTATTCGTTTTCATGTTAATTATACGGTTTCTTAATCACGCTTTTCATATTTAAAAGTATACTCGAATTACTGCAAGAAATTATAAAGGGTGTCTCATTTAAGTGTGACCCCTCGAATACCTTTTTTAACTGTGAAAACGAAAAATGCGTTTTTTCAAATACTACGTGTTTCTACATCTTGCATTAGGTCATGTATTAGGTATCTGAATGTATTTTTTCAGGAGCTACGCGATGCAAAAGGGAAAAAACAACGATGACCTTTAAAACTTCGAGAGAAAAACAACCTTTAAAAACAACATCGCCTGCAGGATGCATACTGATAATTTAATGCCATTTAAATTACGTATAAAAGGTTTTTTGTGTTTTGACAATTAAAAAAAATTCGGGGGGTCATACTTAAATGAGACACCCTGTGTACCCTCGAGGCAGAATAGCGAAACGACACTGAATCACTGACTTCTTGCATTAATAGTTCCAATAAATTGATACTATTGCACATAAAATGACGTATACAGCGATTCATTTGAATCTGAAATGATTACAAATTATCGTTAACGACTGTCGATTTGTCCACGTGCAAGGCCTAATTAGTTATGTTCGTTTCATAACAGAACTTGTGACAATGTACCACACCTTTGCTTAATGTATGCGAAGAAACGCGAGAATCGTCATAACAAAAATAACCTCTCACGTCGTGCAAGGAAAAAAAACAGTATGAGGCTGAAATCTATGATGGATTACATAAAATGTTGCTTCTGTTCGAACGCCATCGGTGGCGTATACTACTTGTTTCCTCGCGACAGTGGTGGGGACTTTTCGACGACGGCGACTGTTTTCGCGAAAGGTGCTCGACGAGGTGTAATTGCGATTCAGAGGATGGCCCCCTCGCCGCGAGACCGGATATTCAAAGTGGCCGATTCCGATTAAACATTCATAATCACGTATCAATACCCGCGCGACCTACTCTTGCAATCATCCGATAAGAACGAAGCGGTTTTGCGTCGCCATCGATTCGTGGCGCGTGAGGTTCGTCGTCTCCCCTCTTTCCTTTTCTTTTTCACCAAGGCCACGTCGCCGAGGGTATTGCGTCTACTTTGTGTTCTACGCAACATTTCCATCGCGTTTTTACGAAATGTCATCGTTGTGTCACTTCTTTTCTATCCTCGACGATTTCGTCGTCAATCGAAGGTGTGGGTACGTGTCCCTTTAACGAAATGACACACTGTGATTCCTTTTTAGCGAAATGGCACATAATGGATTCCGTCTCGTTGAGACACGAAAGATCGCGAAGGTTCGGACAGAACTTGGATCGAAAGGAAGTACTGACGCATATCGGCGTCTGATTAATTAATGCTTCACGAAATGGATTATCGTTGTATCGTAGACGACACTACGTTCGGGTTCCTGTTGTCTAGCGACCTTACAGTATAATTTCACGTTGATTCACATGCATTGAATTTGAATTTTATTGTTAACACGATATGGGTCGACATTGCTCAATAGTTATGATGCTCAGTGTGAATTTCCCGCGAGATCTTGTAAAACTTATTGTGTCTGTAAATATGAGCGGGATCAGGATCGAAAGACAAAAGAAGCGATAGTTAATCGTTATTGATCATTCAGAGCAACGATGTATCACATACGACCAAACTGGATGACTCTATACAACCACTATCTTCCGTAGTGTACTATGAATCATTACAAGTTAGTGCGCAGCCGACGACCAGTTTGATCAGTTCCGAGAAAAATCTAGGGAACTCGTAAAAGTGTCTCTGTCCCAGAAACAAAGGCATCTCTGTGTGTACCTTGTCATTATCCCTTGCGTCCAGTACTTTCATCCACACTTTCCACCGAGGTCACGAGCCTTCCCCTCATTAGTGGATTTCCCGAAAACGAAAAGAATGGTCCACGTAAGGAAATACTTACTTTAACCTGAGGACTGACCAGATACAGCAGAGGATTGGCCCGGAGCCTTTCGCTCTCGTCGATCTGCCTGCGGATCTCCTCCCTCCTCATGCTGCTCAGAACACTGACTTCCTCCCTGGACAACGGTGCCGTGGCCGTAAGCAGAATGGGCTGCGCCACATCCGGCAACGATTTTTTTCTTTGAAGGGACACTGTCGCCGCCACTGGCATCGCCTGCACGAAGAAAGGAAACGAGAAACAAAGAGAGAGGTGGCCCTCGAATACGATCGATCGTGTGTAAAAAAAAAAAAAAAGAAAGAAAGAAAGGAAGCCTTAAATTCTAAGGGTGCAGGTATATACCCCGGGTGCGTGTCCGATGGGACAAAGAAAGGGCCCCTGCGACCGCCCGTTCACGGATCTTCCCAGAAATCACCGTGGAAGCGTAATCGTTTCCGCGATCCATGTCGATTCCCACTCCCTCGCGTGAAGATGATCCGTTGCTGTTGAGCCTGATTAATGGGGATACGTCTGGCCGACATTGCGTGTCAGAAACGAACCAATTGGCCCCTTTCTCGAATCGTACATATTTATCGATTGACAAACAGAAGTTCCTCGTGTGGTTCGTTTCTGACATTGGGATGGTAGAAGGAATTATCTCAAATTATTCTTCTATCATAGCTTAGACTGTAATTTTCGGACGGTTAATGTTTCTGGTGACCATGGATAACGATGCTCGGGTCTGTTTAAATCCAGATACAGACACCTCTCGATTATTGTCCCATACTCGAGTTCGCGCCGGGACAATAATCAAATATGGAGAAATGATTCAGACCCTCGTGAACTGATTTTTTTCACGAAATCGAAGCCTCGGCAACAAAAACGGAGGACAGGTTCCACGCGCCTGGACAATAATCGCGTAGAACAAGCCAGACAATAATCGAGAGGATTCTGTATAGACAATTTTGGAGTAATCAAACGTTAAATTCCATTGATTATCATGAGTTGCAAAAGTTGGACAAAGCTTCGAGAACGTATACGTCGAAATAGACCCAGGGCATCGCTGCCTTTAAATTCCTTGGAACAGAATTCTACCCCAGCTTAAGTGGGTTAAGCCTCGTAAGAAAGGATTTGTCATCGGTGAGTTGTCGGGGTTAAGGTTCCGCGGGGTTAGAAGAAACCTCGAGGTCTCCGTGAGTAACGACGGTGACTTTTTTGGCGTGGCATCGGACCGGTCCGGACGTTTACATGTTCATTAGTTCCACATTTCGAAGAAGCGAGACGGGGCCAGCAGCACCGGGGGAGAAAGGAAGACAAGAGGAATCCTTGGACGCGTTCCAAAACGTGAAGCCTCGCCTCGTAATCGTACGTAATAATGATGCAAAGGCCAGGCATTCGACTCCCCGATGCGTTGACCTTCGACACCAATTTTTCTTTCGTTTTTCCGTAGAAAATGAAGAAAGAAAGAACATACTCGAAAGCGATAAAACCCCCGATAACTATTATCAACGCGTGTATCCTAGTTTAGACCTCTCTTACGACAATTACTGTAAAATTAAGTCATCCAAGATAACGTCGAGTAAGTAGAACGATCCTTAGACTAGAAAAATTTGTGAAAAGAGCTATAAACCGCGAACGAGACCGGGCGAGATTATACTTCTTCCCTTATCGTCCGTCACGGAACTTTTCCCGCGTTTTACTAGGCGTAAAATTAGATCGGCGCCTCTGTTCCCCCTACGAGCGATAATTTTCCCTCCCCCTTCTCGAACGATAATCCTCGATGCCCATTAATTAGCCGCCCGATCGCGACTCCCGTTTCGTTTCACCATCGCAATCTCCAGGCCACGGGTCAACGAGACTCTATCCCCGGTTTCGAGTCTACTTTTCCAAAGATTTGTAAATCGCTAACGATAATGTCACGGCGATATCTGCGAAAGCAAAAGCCCGGCATTTAATTCCCCCATGCTCCAGCAAGGCTTTATCGGAGTGAATTTACAGGGGATACACGCGGCAGAATTGTCCCTTATCGTTCGACGTGATTCGGCGCTGCATCCGAAACAGCTGACCCGCCTTTTCGTGATGTATATTTTAACCGCGACCTCGTCTAGAATGTCACCTGTCAAAACGAACATCGAAACCAGTTCGAAACGTCTTCCTTAGGAACAACACAGCGAACGTTTTCTTTTACGAAGTTATCGAAGTCGTTATACTCGACTGTCATTCCCGTTGCGATTTCGATGTTAAAGAGATCTAGTTCGATGAATTTTACGGTTATATCAGAGATGAGACCTAAGATTTATAGAATGTTTATATACAAATGAGACAGAGATGTACGAAAGCTATTTGGTATCCTTTCGTACCTCCACAGGAGGCGCGACGATCCAGGATTCCGAGGCCCTCCTGGCCATAAGGGCAGGGCTGCATAGTAGCGCCTCTTCCTCCTCGTCCGGCTCTGACCAGAACATCTTTACCAAAAGTTCTTTCCGATTGTCACCGTGTATCGTTATTAAACGGAATTATTCTTTATGCCCGTCGCGGCGCACCGGTCGATACGTGTCTCCCATATTCCACAGAGATTCGCCGAACAACATTCTGATCGCGTGTCTCACCCCCCCCCGTGGGGATCCAGAACGGTGATCATAGATCGCACGCCGCTTCCTCCTCGCGGGTACCGATACTCAATTCAAACTGTTCTTACGTCTGGAGTGCCGCGAACGAGCGGACGATGAAAATTGGGAAAATTCGAAGGACCAAACGGACCTCCGCGGCGAGGAAGAAGCCAGGCCGCAGACTGAACGGCCCTGGCTCGCTCGACCGAAAATAGAGAGACGCCCCACTATTTTCACGTCGAAATAGCACTCGTCGAGGCGTCGCGACGCTCACGGCTCTGGGTAATACCGGACGACGATGCCAGAGCCTTGTCGATCCGCCGCTGGTTGATTTATGGCCGGTTGTCGTCGTGCCGTTCTCCCGTTGGCATTATTTCGGATACGTTTCGGTTTTTCGTTTACATGTGTCGAACGTTCCATCGCGTATTTTTAACCGAGGCTTAAGGTGGATGTTCGTTTTGACGGTTCGGAGAGCCATTACGTTCGCGGTGAACGAGAATTTTTTTTCTACGACATCTGCACACCTTTCTCAAGGGTTTGAACGCATATATTCATACAATTTTTCATCTTCGATAACAGCTGCCCGTTTCAAACGCGGTTCGTCCACCAGCGATTTATTGCACTCCTTAAATCGCTTAAATCATTTTTGTGCTGTCCTTACGCTGGTAGAACTTTCTCCGTACATACTACAAATGCGTTTTGCTGCATTTGCTGCTGTATTACCAAGTTTAAATTTATTAAGTATGAAAGCATGAATTAATTTTGACGTTTCGGTATTCATCTGTAATCTCGTGTACACAACGGAGTGTTAGAACAAGTGAAAATTACAGAACAAGTATACAACTTTAGAACAACTTTAGGCAGTACATTTGCAAATTACTGCACGAAATTCGACCCGAGTGATTGCTAACAGAAAAACCGTACAAAATCTTCCCAGTACCTAATAGTTTGCTTCAGTGATTCAACGAAATTTTTTATAATTTACGAAAACTGTGTTGTTGTACCTTTAATTGTCTAGCTAGGATGTAACGGTTGGAAATCGAGAATGAATGGACAGATCGTGTAATGACGGTAAGAATAGTCCCGTTTTTAAAGGACAAGTTCAATGGATTCGGTTAATTCGAAGCACGAAGCCTCCGAGATGGCGCGGTGTACGCAGAGAGGATTCTTCGGAGCCGTTCACGGCCGATACGCGACCGGAAATATCGTTACGCAAATAAAGTCGAACTCGCGTCGTTCTCTGATTCACCTGGCTGGCATGCGAATAATATTCGTCCGAGGTTTTCGAGAATTCTGCACCCGATCATCGCGCGCCAAAATGGGGCTCGGCCCACTTTATTTGTGGTTTCCTGTTAGTTACCTTGTGTCAACGCGCCCCACTATTTCCAAACGTCTTCGAAACAAATTTTCAAGATGCATCGTCAATTATACCTGATCGCTGTTTCGTTTATTTCCGTTAGTTTACTATATTCTGTTGGTTACGATTGCATTCAAATATTCCCAATGTTTTGCAATCCAAAGCAACGGTCAAGCGTATGCAGCGGTCAGCTATTGGACACTTGTTTTCTCGCTCGATTAATTATCGAATTTCGATCCTGTCGAAACAATAATTAGCCTTGCTAATCGCCGTGGTATCTTGTCGCAACTGTACTTTATTGCCCCGATCTCTTGACCCCAAGGCTTATCGGTATGCAAGGTAACACCGCCTCGAGCCTCTGTTATTTTTCCCAACGCCTCGACAATGCCACGCGATACTAATTAACAATCTCCCTCCATCCCTTCCCTCCCCGCCTTTGGAAAGTCGTCTGACCGTCATAGCAATTTCTCGTCGGTCTCTCGTCGCGTGATCCTCGGTTCGCGAATGGAACACGCGGACCAGGCGACGGAAATCCGGCGAATTCTGTATTCACACCCCCCCCCTACCCAACAAACGGGTTTATACGTGCAATTAAAAAAGAATCGATCATTCAACAATCGCGGTCATTCACTCCGCGGCTACGTTACGATTCCACCGTGGTACAAATGATCGTAAATACGCGAATGATCCTCTAGAAACTTCGGTCCCACGTTTTACATAACAGATTCTTTATTTACGAGACCTTTCCATATGGTATTGCTTGAAATTTTGTTCCACTCGAAATAGTTTAAAATAGCTATGTAATTTTAAACGAAAGATTTCATTGCGTTTCAAATACTCGAATCATAGATGAGTAAAATCCACATTTGTTTGTCAGTTGTGTAGATATTGTTTATAGAGGTGAATCTCGATGATCGGAATTTCGAGCATACCGCAGAAATTCTTTGGACGATGCAACGAGGAGACATTGATGTTAGTGGTGTTAGACGCTCCCTCGGAGCGAGCTACAAAAATATCGCGCACCGTTTTCACGCCAATATGTATTGTCTCGAGTTGGCATTGTCGCGACACATTCAATTGAACAATCGTACTTTGTTATGCTTCGCCGTGAATTTTTCCAGTCGAAATCTTGAAAGCAATATTGTCGAGGGAATAGAGGTGCCGATTGATCGTCGACATGTTTCAATATTAATTTCTAGCAATTTGCAGTTTCATTTAAACTGACATTCATGTTTCAACGATAAATTTAAATAATTAATACGCGAGAGGTC